TATATATATATGTATGTGTGTGTGTGTGTGCGCGCGCATGTGCACACCATAGTAACTTTTGGAGCTTTTCTTCACACAGTATCTATTTCCTGTCTGTCCATTGTGGAAGAGGGATCCCTACCCTACTCTGTTGTACTTCCTGAGATTTCGCCTCCTGTATTTCCTGTTAAAGGTTGTTTATTTTCCTTAGCTAATACGAGGATCTAAGGACAGAGGGTATCGTATTCTGTTCAGACTGTTCTGCAGTCAGATTCCTTTTGTGTCCAGTATATTTTGCCAATAAAGCTGATTCAGATAAAAACTGACTTGACTTGTCAAACACTGGAATGCAGTGGGATTAAATGCCTTCCCAAAAATAAAAGTAGGTTAATGAGTACAACTTTAATGTATTTTAAGGGATGTTGCCATTGATTCCTTACCTGAGGACACCTGACTTCCTCTCTTCAGATGTAAATTCCAAATAATTATCACATATAAAAATGTTTTAATGGTGTGGCAGCAGGTATGGGCTTATTGTATTAAAATTCAGTTGGCTCATTGAAAATAGATTCAATGTAATTAAACAAAGTGCAAAAAGTGTTGTAACTATCCCCACCTTACCCTAATATTACAACTGTTTTACTTTTCACAAATAAGTTTATTTATAGCCTATGACTCCTGATTTGGTTTTGTTTTGTTTGCTCGGCAGACGTGAGCTTCCATACCTTTAGGGCTTCTGTACATAATCAGTTTCATATAGGACCATATGTTTGAAACCTGGAAAATCTCATTACATCACCTGAGTGATGTAATAGAACAAACCAGGTTCTCATCACTGACTCAAGGTCAGTTAGTGCTTTCCTTCTTCTCCACCTCCCTCCCATTAACAACACTGTTGGTTGCCTGTAGCAACTAGCCAGTCTCTGCCATCTCCTTGGTGCTGCTGTTGCCATGACAATATGCTGCGACAGCATCCCTCATCAGCATCAGACCAACAATTAGTATAGATGGACAGCAGTGTTTCCTTGCATAGAGCAGAGGTGTTGCAGATCATTATCAAGTGTTAAAGTCGACGTGTAATAGCAAGGGGCTGCAGGGCGCTGAAAGAATAATTAGAAAAAATTATTATTCATTTATTAGATCTGTGCAGCTGTAGCAGCATATAGAGAAAGTGGACTAATCAAAGAGTAATAACAGACTATAATAACAATGTTTCAGTTTTTAGAGAACTATTGTAGACAGTAAAAAAATTTAGATAATAGAAATACTACAAAACTAAAATATGATGGGTGGCACCAGAGGATTGGTGAGGGTTCCTGAAGAATTAAAACAAACAAAAAACATGTGTTTTTTTAAATCTACAAAAAACTTTTTTTTAATCTACTGGTTTTATTTAATTTATTGAATGTATTTTTCTTTTTTTATATATATATTTTTTATTTTAAAAGTTTATTTTTACATTAGTTTTTTCCCCCAGATGTAGGTATTTAACATTAAAAAAAAAAAACTAGTTATAGCCCAAGGCCTCTCTGAAGGTTGATGCAGCCCTGACCGCTGAGTGTCACTCAGTAATTCAGGTTGTGGTGGGTGAGGGGCCCTCCGTTATGGTTTGGGCCCCAAACCCGCTTCATGCGCCCCTGCTGGTCAGGAAGAAAACATCCATCCCCGTCTTCCTCCGCAGCTGCAGCTTCATCCTCCAACGGATCTGTGGAGACAAACAGCCATGATGCCTGTTGCCTGCACAAACCTCCTCCTCCTCCTCCTCCTCCTCCTCCTCTTCATCCCGCTCTGAATCGCGGAGAAACACCAAAAAGACGCGTTTGTTCCCGTGCTGAGTCCATCGACCCACTCGTTCCCACTGAAGCGACGGGTTTCATCTCAGATCCCGGTCCAAACAGACGGTGTGATCAGCGGCAGACCGCGCGGACTCTCCGTGATTTCTGTGGCTGGGGTGCCCAGTGCTCGAGGTGCAGCAGCAGACATGTCGTACAGGCCGGATACATGACGCTGCTCTGCCTCCGCTCCCGGTTTGTTGATCTGTTGCATTGATTTCTGATCGATAGATTAGACGTGTTAAAGATGAAGATGAAGCTAAGACGCTCTAATGATGTCCAGAGTGTAAGATGCCTCCGTTTTAAATCAACCTTGTGCTGTAAAATTTGTTTCTGAAATGCAGGGCTAATTACATTTCACAGAAAAATGAAATGGATATGACTGTGAGGATGTTGTCTGCAGCAGAGGCCTGCTTCAGTACAACGTTGTTATTTTGATCCCAATGAAATGGCTTTATAATTCACTTTAAATATCTGCATTTGCTCCTCAGTATTTTTCCATAAGGAGGTTTAACTCTACTGAGTTGAGGTTGGATTTAAAGGAGCCTTGAGTAAATTCAGGGACCTGAGTGGAGATAAACAGACGATTTAAGGTGTTTTTAAGGGAAGCTGCTGTCATAAAAGTGACATCTGTAACAGTGCTGTTAGTTGTTTATAAAATCTGGTTTCAGGCCTTAAAATCCCTGCTCACACCTAAGACTTTGTAAATACATGAAACAGTACAGGTCATATATAATAAGATTTCTGTACCATATGTAGCACATTTCAGATTCTGTGTCTGGGGACACATTTAAGTACAGGTCTCCAGCAAGTCAATAACAGTTTGTCATTTTTTCCACCTAGATTATTATTGATTATGATGTTTGCTGCCAGTCTCACTAGAATCTCAAAGGCTTCATTCATTAGCTGAATTACAGCTGCAGCTAATGAAATTGTTTTTTATCATTTTATCTGCAGATGCAATGAGGCATAATGTTTGACAACTGCAAAATTCTATTAAACAGTTTTTGTAAGCGGGTTTTCCTGTGTTAACTTAAATTCTGTGTCTAAACCAAACATCTCGACTTATCTGTGGAGTTTATCCAGAGAAGAGGCACAAACATAGTAACACCCTTTTTTACTGTTCTGTTTTATGTGCACTCCTGTTAACAAAATAATCCGATGTTTTCACGGTGATATATTTTATGTGCACTTGTTTTAATTTCATTTTCCTGACTAACCCCAAAACCTGATCCTAAATTAGCATTATCAGTAAGAAAATGTCAGAACA